ATTTGAACCTCCATATTTAATAACTTGTTGCAGAAATAATTTAATATTTTACTGTGATTTATAAGACTTAGTATTTGAACATTTTGCATGTTGGCAGTTTACACGATCCCTGTTTTATTTATTTCGAAAAAAATAAATAAATTAGAGCTCTTAACAATGAACATATAAACTCTATAATACCTTTAAGCACTACTAATAGCACAATTTATTGAGTGGATATAAATTGTTTTGAAATAGTATCATACATATGTATGAGCAAAGAGCAACGAAAGCTATGTATGGTATTTTGAAAAAGGGTAACCAATTACATCTTTCTCTATATGACCAATTGTATTTGTTTGACAAGATTGTAGTTCCAATTTTATTGTATGGTTGTGAAGTTACATTTGGTGCCGTGCCATGCCCTGGAATTGACAGGTGAAAGACCTGCCAGGGATGAGGCTGGGTTGGGGTCTTTGGAGGGCCAAAGACCTTTAAGGAGGGAGGAATGTGGCGGTCGGCCGGGTTCGATCGCCGGTGGCCAGATAGCTCAGTTGGTATAGCACCTGACCGGAGTTTCAGGGGGCCCGGGTTCGAATCCTGGTCTGGTCCGTTGCATTTTCTCCTCTCCCGTTACATATGGTAATGTTGAAATGGTAGAAAGAGTACATTTAAAATTCTGTAAAATGCTTTTTCATTTAAAACCAAGTACTCCAAATTTTATGATTTATGGAATTAGGTAGAGTACCTTTGATTATACATATTAAAACTAGAATTATTGCATACTGGTCAAAAATTTTACATGGAAAACAATCAAAATATTGTTTTTTAATGTGTAAATTACTTCGTGCAAAATTTGATAAAGGACATGAATCTAAATGGTTAAAGAATTTGAAATCAATTTTAGACAATTGTGGACATAGTAATATTTGGAATCAGAATCAATTATTTAATAGAACTTGGCTTATTAAAAGTTTGAAACAAAAATCACTAGATCAGTTTCAACAAAATTGGAATTCAACCTGTAATGATTCTTCAAAAGGTGCGACATATAATCTATTTACAAATTTACACTTTGGATGCCAATTTTATGTAGATAGCGGCTTAAGTAATTATAAGAAACAAATTCTAGCTAGATTTAGAACAGCAGACCATAAATTACCAATTGAAACAGGAAGATGGGAAGGTACTGAAAGAATTAATAGAATATGTCTTTTATGTAAAAATGATCTTGGGGACGAATTCCACTATATATTATCATGTGAAAAGTTAAAAGATGAAAGAAAATTGTATATTCCGAAATATTATTTATCAAGACCAAATGTTATAAAGTTTAGTGAATTGTTTTCTTCGAAAAATACTGGGCTATTAAGTAAACTTTGTTCATTTATTAAAATTGTAAACGAGAGAGTCAGACCTCCAGGTTAACATCATTGTAAATTATTATATGAAAATATTTGATTATATTAATAAGCACACTTTGTATATATGTTATATGTAATGCTCACGCATGTATGTATATATGTTATAATAATATGTATGATCTCTATGTTGTTAAAATAACAACGAAAGAGATGTTAATAAACTGGTAAACTGTAGTATAAATTACTATGAAGTTCACAGTTCACACCTCATTATCAGCAGTCAGGGATATCCCAGCCAATTAGCCAAGATAAACACAGTGACACTTAATACCTCCTCTCTTTTAAAATACAGACACTCATTGACAAAACAAGTAAATTTTGAATTTAAACATGGAACTGATTTTTCAAATTTAAACCACAAGCAGATATGATTAAGTATTTTCCTCTAATTTACTTTATTTAATTTAGATAAGGGGGGTTAAAATGATAGTTGCACATATGTCCCCCGCACCACTTGTTGACCATTTCCAGCCCAAGAGAGGGGATATACCCTCGAGGGCCCTTAACCCATCCCCATTGATAGTTTATTCAGGTGCCCAATAATGAACATGACAAATGAATGCTGGAAATATAACTCAAGCACTTGACACCACATGTACAACTACAGCCCCATTCAAAGATAATGCCTATAATAGCTGACTTTTCCCGTTTCACAATATAAAATAATGAAAAACATCAAAGTTCAGGTTAGCTAACTGGTCCTTTCTAGCCCCTGGGACCCTTTGAAACGTTGACAAGGAATACCCTCCTAAGACCCTTAACCCAACCCAAGTGATAGTTTGTTCAGGAGCCCAATAATGAATGACAAATGAAGGCTAGGAATATGCCCCACGCACTTGACACCACCCGTTGGTACCACTACAGCCCCGTTCTCGTAGCAGGGGATAATAGTCCTTTGGTCCTTCTTCCTTGCCCTTGATGATATGGTGGACACTTCATAAATCATGGGTATAATACCTGCCTCTAATATTAAAAATGCTCTTGGAACCACTTGGTGGCATCACCACCACTTATTACTGATAGCGGTAAATGATAGTCTTATAGACCCATTAAGTTGTCCCAGTAATACTGATCGAAACATACTCTCGTGTCATATTTCGGTTTACAATCGTTAGAGTAACCAAATCTCAGGTTAGTTTATACGCCCTGTCATATTTTTGAGGTCCCAGAAAGAGTTGAAAAGGGATTCCTCCTGAAGTAGTTCACCATTTCCTAGTGCTTGTTTGTTGAAGTGGATTCAGATGATAAAGTAATTTATTTCTTATTTTTTTAGTTTTAAAAAAGAAAAAAAATTATGCAGGTGAGCCTTCATTAATTGTCGCATTAATTATCCAATTTTAATCATATAAAATAAAGTACAAGAAGAGTACAGCGTCTGAGTACTCTCATGAGTTCTTTGATGAATTTCCTTATTGGCTGCTAGTTTCTAAGGGCTTAGTGGCTGCTGTTTTTGGCTGCTAGCTTCAGTCTGGTGCAGGAAATAGATAAGGAAACAATGTATGCCATTTGTATAATTCATATCAAGCAGAGATTATTCAAAAACATACACGAAAAAGAAAACACTTAATATAGCCTTCAGTATTCGACATTAAAATATCCTCGTATCGACGACATGTTATCAACAATCAAAGGTTACTCTAATTCATATGTCGACTCATGCAATACCGGGACTTGAAATTCAAACATGCCACAGAGTCTGACACATCTCTTTTATAGATGGATACATTTTACAGAAAAAAAATGCTGATGGTAACCTAAAAAAAACTTTACAGTTAATTTTTTCAATCGTCAGCATCCTGCATGTTTTGTAGAAACTACCCTTACCAACTGCACATGAAGTTTTTGTGTGCTATTTGAATTGATAAGAGCATGCTCTAGGTATGAACAATTACTAAAACGAAGAAGGTATTGACAATCAATATCAGGGTACAACGAGGATATCAAGAAATTGTATAAAGTAATCAATTCGCAAGTTCTGGATCGACACAATGATCTTGCCATTAAATACAATCTATCATTACACTTTTTGTCAAAAGCTGATGGACTTTTATATACCTGTTATATACACGTATACAATATCTATATGAATTGTTCATTGCTCAAGTATAAGTTCAGTTTATTCACCTATACCATCCTAATGGTACATGGGGTTATTGTGCATAAATAACATATATACATTATATACAATATATACAGTCTGGTCAGAGGTACATATACAATATAGAAAACATGACAGACGGAAAAAAAATGTAACAGTGGGGAAAACATATCAAGGAGGACAGACAGCAGCATAAATGTGATGTGACCGATCGGCAGGGAATGCTCCATCCTCCATGGCACCTGATCCAGCGTCTAATGCTTTTACAGGTCCATGTTAACTCTGGTACCGAGTCTACCGACATGTACCCTTTCAATCTACTTTATGATATACTTTATTGCTTGATTACTGGTTCATTATCCGAGACACCATATTTTATTTAGGAGAGAAATATTAGAAAGATTCTTATCTTTCATGCTAATTATACGCATTATTTTTATATATAAAAAAAAGAACGCAAAAGTGTACTTGTGCATTATTTCCAAAATTACAATATTATATTTTATTCCCTAATTAAAAAATGCATTTCCTGTATTAAAATGTTGAAGAGGTGTTTTATAATCTGTTAAACAAAGGAAGGAAAGAAGGTAAATTAATATTTAATTAGTTTTTAAATGAAATATAGGGAGAAAACGAATAGTATTCAAGCTCAGAAGTCCAGAAAACAATGCAAAATAAGAACAGAGCAAACAAGGACCTCAAAAATATCAGAGGTGGGATCAGGTGCCATGGAATAATAAGCATCCCCTGTCGACAGATCACAACCGCATTGACTTTGTGCTCCCTGTCATGTTTGGGAAATAACGGAAAAGTCCGTGTCAATCCCGTATCATATGTAAATAATGGACTAACAATTAGTACAAAAAACGTCAATTAGCATTTGACACGGTGATAAATTGTTTTGCTCAATATCATTGTATCGACTACAGAACTTACGAAATAATGACATTAAACGACAATGCTTATACATGTTTTCATGTTTCATGATTTATTTTGCTTTGTTTCATGCGGTAATCAGACAATAAATGATCTAAAATTATATTCCCCTCACTATAACAACTATTAAGCTGTCATCATGGCCAACACAATTATTATATTCCCCTCACTATAACATGTATAGCCAACACAATTATTATACTTCCCTTGGCCAACACATATATTTATTAACTGAATGGCCAACACAATTATATAGCAAAAATTGCGGCCAACACACATTATTATCATGAGGTAATCAGACAATAAATGATGTAAAATTATATTCCCCTCACTCCAACAACTGTTAAGCTGTCATCATGGCCAACACAATTATAATATTCCCCTCACTATAACAACAGTTAAGCTGTCATCATGGCCAACACAATTATTATATTCCCATTATTATAACAACAGTTAAGCTGTCATCATGGCCAACACAATTATTATATTCCCCTCACTATAACAACAGTTAAGCTGTCATCATGGCCAACACAATTATTATATTCCCATTATTATAACAACAGTTAAGCTGTCATCATGGCCAACACAATTGTTGTACTGAGGAGGTAAACAAAGGAACAGACCCAGAACATCAGAAAATCGACTGCAGATGAAACATCATTCCAGGAAATCTCTCGTCCATCGTCTATTGAATTTTTGGGATTCTTTTCATCTACCACATCTTCTGGAATAATAGTTCCTTCTTTATCCATTTGACACTTCCAAAATTTGCAGAGCGAAAATTTTACTAAAATTTTAAGAAATCCATTGACCTTTTGATCTTCGTCTCTGTGACGTAAGCGTAGTTGTATTGAAGAGACAATGAGTGAGAACCCGCCGATGATTATCTGAATACGCAGATAAGTAGAAAGATATGGCTTATTTTCGGAATTCGCCGGAAGTTCAGAACTAACGATAGTTAGAAAAACCACGAATCCTAGTGCCACTGTTGTAGAGTACGACATCTTCTCACCGGCGTCGGCCGGAATGATAAAAACAAGAATATTCAACGTCCCCAGAAACAAAATAGGAAAGACGATGTTACCTACGAAATGTGCAGGCTTCCGTCGAAGCTTTAGGGTGAATGTGATTAAGCTGTTAGAACCGGAATTATCTATAGCTTGGCTCGCAGAAACAATGTCCCACATACTGTTGCTCTTGTATTCGCCCATTTTAATGCTGCTTCTAGATGACGTAATTTTTACTTGGTGCAAATAATGCGACCATATTGTGAAAACGATATTGCAGGTTTGGGTATCAAACGGAAAGTACGTGACGTCAATAGAGCACTGAGACTCAAAGACCTGATAGGGCTTCCATTCGATGCTTCCATCACGCGAGACTATGACGTAATAGAACGAACCTCCAAGTTCCTTAAACTCAGTGAAGCCGTTTTTCAACACAAAATCCGGTTTCCACACGATGTTTTGGGGTAAAGTTAGGCGACCTACAGGGAACGGTGAGGTATCCCACGTCAGGAATTCGTCCTTCCACCTCAGCGTCAGATAAGCCGTGGTGACAAGTTTCTCATCTAACTCGTCTATTTTATTTTTACCCATTAAGTGAAAACCGACATCTAACACTGTGGGAGAATGTTGATCCACTGCCGGACGGAGAGTCTTGTCGTACGCATTGGTTTTAAACAGAAGTTTTGTCAAGTTTCTGGCCACATCTGCGGAATATCCTAACGTTACAGTCGGCAAACTCGGTAAAATAAAGAAGTTAAAAAGAACACAGCGCTGCCACAGTAGCATGGTATAATTCTTTTTGAATAACACTTATTAGAAAGAAGACATCCTAAGAAAATCACTTCATGACCATTGCTGTAATGGATCATCTGGATTTGAAATCTGCTTCATTGCAACACTGCTATATAAATTAACCTCACAAAGAGGATTTTAAATTTTGATTTTTTTCTCTACGGAAAGCACCGAGTTCTAATTGATCATCGAAACGTATTCATTACAGATCATGTAGACAGAACAATCCACAGAAAAGTCGCATTCTAATTTCGTCATAACCATTCAAGTGTTTCTGATTTTATTTGACAGTCCTATCATTCTTGGAGAAAAGTAAGCATTTTCATCAGGTTTACAAAAATGCTTACTTACTGATGAGAAATAACGTGTCTTGAAGGTGTATAATATTATAATAGTAATCCCCTGTTCTACAACCTTGATATGCATAATGACATATTTGTACATGATGAGTCAATACACTGAAGTGAACTTATTAAAACATCAAAAATGAAGTGGGAAAAATGAATTTCAATAAGAAAAATCTCACCAACCGAATAATTACCGGTATATGATATATTGTTAATTACTAGTAATACCTTTTATATAAATGATTGATATTGGGTAACAATTCAGGGTAATCGACTTTTTATCGTAGAAAATGAAGTCAACATTAACTATGGAGATATTTTTCAGTGCCTCAAGTGTGCAAGAATAAAATGTTTGTATTATATCATCATAAAAATATTATTACTGCATCAAGATTGAATATCTTTAAATTTAGAACTGTAAATTTTTATCTTACAAATGGTCAGATGTATATTACACATAAATTGATTAAACCCCTCTGATAAGTGACAATAATTTATTTTCAGTTCTTTCGGCGAAGTTTTCATGTTGGAGTCTTTTGAGTACAGGAAATATGCGTTGTTTGCAATGTAATGTCCATTACAGTCATGTCAATATATGCACAAGATAATTCTGCCTTCCGGAAGTCGTCCAATGTTGTATAAATGTCAATGTAAGGTCACCGCCTCATTGTAAACATATGTCGTTCTTAAACAAATATTAACTTTAAAATTTCTATGGTATGTATACAGATATACATGTGTCAAGGTCCCGTCTTACCATAAAGGATATTTTACATTAAGCACATTATTAAAGATCATAAAACGTTGTTTAACTATATTCAACGATTGAGTTCTTTGTAAGGCCATTCCAAGTTTTTTCCTCTGTTTAGCTTCCACCCATCTTTCAAAAACCTACCTACCTATTTGCAAAATACACACAAGCCAAAACATAAAACACAGGCTTAAAAGTCATAAAAATGACGCCGTTCAAATGATTTGATCTAACTAAACTGCTTTAACAGAGAAAATATCTATTCTTAAGCAAAAACAAGGGATTAAATGCTTAAAATACACCCAATATATCTTACTGTACAGAATTTGGAGAAAATGAAAAAAAAAATTAAAAATCCGACTAAATTAATCAATTTCAGGACTCCTGATGTGTGTTTTTTCTTATATAGGGTGTCAAAAACCAAGGCGCACGCGGACGCTAAACACAGAAAAAAATTTGGAATGGCCTATCCAAAAAAAAGATCCATCGTTCGGTTGGATTTTGAATGACATATTACATACCAATTGTTTAGCCATTGTTTATACATGTATATCAGATATGATTATTGATAAATCCATCTATACATTACCAATGCATGTAGAACCCTCGATGGACTGGATATGCCTTTTACTCCATCTAGGCGTCATTTACAAACTTAACCTTTTCAGGGTGCCTTTTTTCTTTGTTTTCGGATTTGTAAGGTTGGATGCTTCTTGAGATCAATCACTGATCGGTTTCCGTACTTTTGTCATTCCAAATTACAAATGCCTGTTAATCGGTTGATTTTTTATTGATGAAAAAATAGTGCATATATCAAAATTACAGCTCAACAAACTTTTTAAGCTCACATGGTTTTTCGCACAAATTAAGGTCACATTGTTGTAATAATAAAATACAATTTTGGAACTGTAGTACATTGTTGTAATAATAAAATACAATTTTGGAACTGTAGTACGATGGCATAACTCTTCATTATATTACATATATTATGTCAACCATAAATGTGTTTTAAAATTATTATCTTAAGTTTCCAAAGTGGATGTTTTAAAAGAAAATTTATAAATAAATGGTAGGATGTTTCGACTTTACGATTCTACCATAGGTTTTTACAAATTATACAAAACGAGCTTTCCTTGATCCCATGTAGTTAAATTTTTGTAATTTTTTTTTCTTAAAGGCGGGTATTTTTTAAAAATATTAGTTCATTTACCATACTCCTCTTGGTTTCGTCGAAATGTAGCGCCCAAAAGCGATAACATTGCAAAAGGAAACCACACTAAAGGGTAGGATAATGAAGTATTGTATATTTTTTTGAATAGTAAATTCCTTCTATGAAAAGGAAAATTCTTCTGCATTTACGGTTTAACACGTTCAAATTTTGCAGTGGGATGAATCTTTCATGATTCTAGATTTTAGAAATTGACTCCTAAAAATCCCACTTTATTAACATAGGAAGCAGTCAAACATATGGAAAATACTCTTACCACCCCGAGTTAAAAAGTCAAAATGTACAGAAAATACAAGTTACAGTAGCTGTACTATACCCATGTCTACGTTTCTGCCAAGAGCTATTGCTCTCAAAAGAACGGATAAAAAGAAAGTTACAATTGGCAAGAAACTACAAAAATTAAAATGCGAATAGTTGTTATTTTTCATGCATGAATATATCAAAGTGGTACCAATTGATTTGTTTGAATTATGTTTCAGTAAATGAAATAAAACTCAAATTAAGTAAACAAATACTTTTAAAATGTATTTTGTTGTCGCGATATACAATATTACATCATAACAATGTGACCTTTATTTGTGCGAAAAACCATGTGAGCTTAAAAAGTTTGTTGAGCTGTATACATATATTCATGTAGAGTCACGAATTGTTACTTTAAGTTGTAAGCCTGAACTAATGTATTGATGTATTTCTTCCAGTTGTGTTTTTGCTCTGGGTTTAAAGTTCCTAGATTGTAGATTGCATCAGCGGTTGTCTTGGCTGTCTGGTTCCTAGTGGGAACGGCGATGGCAAACTTTATAAAATGATCTGTCATCACTAGGATATTCTGTATGTTCCCTTTGGATCATGGGTCATGAAGGTCATGAAGTCCATGTAGACTAACTATAGTGGCTCTGTTGTCACAATGTTGACAAAAAATGCCTTCTGATTATCAGGTGTCTTAAACTTGATGCATCTTCCACATTCATCTATCCACTTGGAAATATCTGCATACATTCTCCAGCTAATGCTGTACGTTGTCTTGTCCCTTCCAAGGTGACTCATGTTGTTGTGTACATGTTGCAGCATTACTTCACTCTCTGTACATGGCATAACAAATTGCTTTTTTGTAGTATTCTCCCTGTATTTCCCTTATAAGTAAGTGATCTTTTAACGTAAGCCTCCTGAGGTTTTGGTGTTTTATAGATGGACATTTTACTTAAAAAGGATTTTGTAACCTAACAACAAACCTCTAACTTTTCAGTCGTCAACTTTCCTTATGCCACAATAGACCTTCATTACCTACAAACTGGATTTATATCTTTCAGTTTATTTGATGCCAAAGAGCATGCCTCTTTTTTTTATTTGATACCCAAGTTAGTTATTGACAGACAAGTTGATGAAATAAGAATATCAGTTTAATGTCATCATTTCGGAAATTCTATGGTCGATCCCACGACCTTGTCAACAAAAACAATCCATCATTTATTCAAATGCTGACTAACGTTTTTTCATACGTATTATTAATCTATTATTTTCCTGTTATTTCCTAATCACGAGAAGGAGCACCGGCTGGGTGTGTCCGGTCGTCAGGGGATACGTCCTCCTCCATGGCACCTTATCCCACCATTGATGACTTAGAAATCCTTGATTGCTTTGCTCGGAAATTTGTTTTGTAAATGGACTTTTGAACTTAATGACTATTCAAATTTATGGAAATTTCATTTATTAAAAGGATGTTTTTATGAACGTAACATTGGATAATAAAAAAAAAAGTTTGGCGATTTAAGAGTACATACACTTTGAATACACTAGAAATTTGAAAATAATATCGTTCTTATTCAATTCTTATCATAAACCCTTAAATTGTTTGTATAAATTAACAATTGTAAAAATTAAATTAATTTTCTATATATATTTCAAATGCCTTTGTAGATCACATACAAATTAAAACACACGTATTGCACTGAAAAGTGAAACAAAAAAGGCAAGTTGCTACAAATTAAAAATAAAGATTTAGGTTTTCTATACATATATTTAATATTACTGAAAAATTTGAAGAAGCAAAATAAAAAAAGAGTATTGATATTTCATTTTTATAAAATTCTCCATTATAACGTTTAGAAGAGGTCTGTGTTTGCTCTGCTTCAAATTTGCATTGTTTAATGGAGTTTGGAGCTCAAATACTTTTTGCGATCTTTATATATTTCTTTTTAAACATCCACTTCTCTTTAGTTATAAATATTAACGACCAATCCTATGTATCACCACTGGTTGGTTCCTTGTGAGCGTCACACCTGTCGATGTTATTCTTACGCGCTATATTACAACACTCGTTTTGATATTTTTTCAGTTGTTTTAAGAAATCTTCAATGGCAATATTTTCGTCAGTATGAATCGTCACTTCCCCAACCAATTTTTGTAGCACTGCTGAAATACTATCCACTTCTTTAACAAATGCTTTTTGTTGTAAATCTATCCATTGATTAAATACACGAATTTGATTTCTGTCAAATTCTTCAAAAAACCTGTCAGTTGTAAAGATGTCTGAGTCATATAATTTATTAAGGATATCCGTGAGGCATTCAGTCATATTTTCTCGAAAGTGAGCAATGGCGTTTCTATTGCTGAGTTTGTTGGACAGAACTTTTAGGATACCAACAGGAACCACGAACAGACTGGCAGTGAT